GTAACCAAACCATAGACCTTAAGAGCCTCACCTGGCAATAAAAGTCGAAGTAGCTGCAAAATTAGACTGGTGGATAACGCGTGGAGCCGTACCATAGTAAGTCATTTTCCACAGAGTTCCATGTTTCACCAGAAAATTATAGCTCCTGGGAAGCTGGTTAAACGGCCAGGGCGTATGATCTGTCCACAAATCCGTAATAGACACCTGCGCAATCACTCTTGATGTACAGAACCAATCAACAACTGTTCACACTGCTTAAAAATTCAGACTTTCAACGCATTTGATCGATTAACTCAATTGAATGTAGCCGCAATGTCAAATTGTAAGAGTCTCAAAGTGAAATCAATTTACCAAATAAAATGGAAGGAGATTTTCAAGACGAACCTGGTACTCATCACCATACTCCTGAAAGAAAGCAGCTTTAATGGCTTCCGCAGAGGCTCTGTGACCACCACCAGTATCACTCATCAAAATCAAAACTTTCTTCGGCCGATCGGTTTCGACGACATTCAATGGCAAGCCCTCCTCACCCAAAACCCCACCGGACCCATCTTCCCTAACCACGTTCTCGTCGCTCGACAACCCGACTCCTCCGACGGTGTCGAAGGTCTCCGGAACCACCTTATTGCAGTGAAACCTAATAAAGCTGTTGAAATCGCTGATAAACTTACGCAGGCACGAACCGGCACCGCTCTTAGTGTTCAAGCTCAGGGAAGCTAGGGTTTTTCGCCTCCGTTGGGCGTGTAAAGTCCGGGAGCCGTTGAAGTACAAGACATTGGAGGTTGAGAGAGCAAACCCATCAGAATTCGAAAACGGAGATCGGTTTCTGGAGGCTAAACCGGTCAGCCGTGTGAAGAAATCAAAAGCGGGTGCTGCTGATTCCTGTGTTACTGTTGAAGGGTTTTGCATAGTTGATGGATGATTAGAAGAGTCTGTGTGCTATAGTGGGAGAGAGAGATTCAATTCGTGGAGTGATTTAGCGCCATGGATGATCAAGCGCGTCGATCAACGGAGGGAAATGGAGAGATTGCAGCCACGGAGAGATGGGATTTTTGGAGGATGAAATGAAGATTGAGTTTGTTGTTTTTTATATAGGAAGAAGAAGATTGCTTTCGCTAAACCGAAACTTATCCGAATATTCTATTGGCAATTCTACCAAAATCCAGACAACCAATCAACCAGTTTATGTAAATGTAAATATCGTGTGCACAAATAATATAGTTCCAAAATGAAATAAATCAAATATAAAATAAGTAGATTGTAATTTGTATGTCATCTCTGCGTGGTCAAAATTACAGCACCAACGGATGGTCGGCGTCGGAGCAAAAAGAACCCGGATGGTCGGCGTAATGGACAAAATTATGACCAAAACTGTAGTGCATTTTATCAGAGCCCATTTCTTTAGCATAAAAGCATATTTTTGGTTCTTATCTGTTATCAATCACCATTAAGAATCTAGATTACCATTTCTCCTTGTGTGCTAGTTCTCCGAGGTGTTCCTATCCACGTTGTGATAACAAGCGAAAAAATTATGAATTATTCAAAACTTGATGATGATTAAAGAATTGTAGTATGTCTTTTGTATAATATAGTCTGCCTCAATTATCATGTTTCTTGACTCAATTACATAAAACTAAAAGTCACCGATACAAGAAGACTATGAACCTAGGACTCAAAACTAATAAGATGCCATTTTGCTTTTTGAAGAAACATTGTGTACCTACTATAAACACACTTGCGGTTTTAAATTAAAAAAAAACCTCTGCGAAACTCATGTACTATAAAGTGATTCACTAGTCAACGACTCTTCTCATTTTAAAACACCATTAAAAGCATAAGAAGAATCAACGTTGGCTTCCTGCTGCTCGCTTCACATGTTTTTCATGCTTCCAAATTTCCGCTCGTTTCTCTACTATAGTTCTGACTTCCGAGACGCTAGAAATAAATATTATTAGTAGTAATAAAAAGGTTTTAGATTAGAAGGAACAAAAGTCTAATTAAGGTACTCGTCGTGTTTACTTTGAGGATCATACAATGAATCATGGTCAAGAACAAAGTTATTGCATCCCCTACATGTTAATAAGGCTTTGGTAAGAAGATGGATAATAGCTTATAGCCAGTGGATTTAAATGAAACGGGCTTACTCGCAGTAGTATACAAACATTTACCGCGGATTTTTCCTTTTTAAAACGACCTCGTTTCTAAAACCTCAATAAAACGTCGCGTTTTGATTATTCACAAACTCCCAATTCGATCCTCTGGCACTGAAGAACCCTAACTGAAATTTTGAAAAACAGAATTACAGCTCTTCAAGCACTGAAGAATCCCAATTCGCAAAACCCCAGGATCCATAGATTCAAATCCGCGCGAGAGATGAAGATTGCAATTGAAGGGTGTATGCATGGAGACCTCGACATTGTTTACAAAACAATTCAACATCATGAACAGATTCACAACACCAAAATCGATCTCCTCCTCTGCTGCGGCGATTTCCAGGTAAACAACCTTATTGAATATCAGTTTTCCAGGAAAAAAAAATTCCAATTCGATTCTGCTTCCTTCAGTGTGATAAAAAATTCGTTTTGCTATATAGGCTGTGAGAAATGAGAAAGACATGGATAGCCTTAGCGTACCCAACAGGTACAAAGAGATGAAATCCTTCTGGAAGTACTACTCCGGCCAAGAAGTTGCCCCAATTCCCACAATCTTCATCGGTGGGAATCACGAGGCCTCAAACTACTTATGGGAATTGTAAGCTTCCTTCTACTGTTCCACTCTTCCTTGTTATAAAAACAAAAAAATGTGTTTTTGATGGTTTCTGGATGCTTCTCTAGGTACTATGGAGGCTGGGCTGCCACCAATATCTACTTTCTCGGCTGTGCCGGAGTTGTCAAGTTTGGTAATCTGCGAATTGGAGGCCTTTCTGGTATTTACAAAAAGCAAGATTACCGCTCAGGTTTGTTCTCTTTGTTGCTTCTTCATCTCTCTGTTCAAGTGCCAAATTAAGCGAAATCTGTCATTTCTTGTGAGCAGGACACTACGAGCGGCCGCCATATAACGCGAATACAATCAGATCGGTGTATCATGTTCGTGAGTATGATGTACAGAAGCTGATGCAGCTTGAAGAGCCGCTTGATATATTTCTCTCACACGATTGGCCTGTTGGGATCACTGATTACGGAGACTCACAAGCACTGATGAGACAAAAACCGCACTTTGTTCAAGAGGTAAAAAAAATTGGAAAATGTTTCTACATCTTCTTGGGATGATTGCAATGAATTTGGAACCGAATTTGTTTACAGATTGAGACGAGAACTCTTGGAAGTAAACCAGCGGCTCTTCTGCTAGAGAAACTGAAGCCTCGGTACTGGTTTTCAGCTCACTTACACTGCAAATTTGCTGCTGCTGTTCAACACGGAGACGATGGCCCTGTGACGAAGTTTCTTGCCCTTGATAAATGCATTCGAGGGAAAAAGTTTCTACAGGTTCTTCTTCTTCTTCCTTCCTTTCTGTCTACCTTTGTTCTTTTTCGAAACAAAAAGGATATCTTATTAATTTCTTGGAGTGTTCATTAGATTATTGACATCGAATCAGAGCCTGGTCCGTTTGAGGTCCTATACGATGAAGAGTGGTTAGCTATAACACGGAAGTTTAACTCTGTCTTCCCTCTAACAGGGAGAAACGCAGATTTCAGGTAAACACTATCTTGACCAAGCTACTTTGCTTAGTCCTGTTTATGCTTTTTTTATCCATTCGTTTTTCTACTCACATACAGGTATTGCTTTGATAATATAAAATAGGTCTGCTGAAATGAATATACAAGAGAGCCGTGAGTGGGTGAGGAAGAAGCTAGAAGAAAGGCAATTTAAACCTTTTGAGTTTGTGAGGACGGTCCCTGTATATAACCCTTCACAACGTAGCTTTGATCCCATACCTGGTTAGTTAATCTACTGGATACAGAGGATTATGTAAAGTTTACATAGATAATCAGTTTAAAATGTTGTTATTCTCGTGGAATTATGTAGAGATCCCGCAGAATCCTCAGACACTGTCTTTGTTAGAGCTCCTTGGCCTCCCATATCTCCTTGATTCATCACCGATAACAGGAGAAAGAACCAAGATCCCTGCTTCGCAGGCTCCATCAGGTATGACCATGGCTTTCTTAGTTATATCTGCCTTGGCAGAGATGCTTAGTGCCGTGTTAAGACTGAAAACATGTTTTGCGTATTGCAGATCTTCCGACATTTGATAGCGAAGAAATCCCGATTGATGACATTGATGATATTGATGAAATAGAAGAGATGGCAGAAGCAAAAGCAGATGAGCATACGAGAGAGGAGGCATGAATGATGAATCTCTCTAATTCCAGTGGTCGGAATCTTTGTTCTCTTGCTAAATTTTGACTGCTTAATTGTCAAGCTGGAAAACAACCACACTAGTGGAGATTTTGTGAATAGGAAAATCAGGTTTTTTCTTCCTTTTTTTTATCATAAGTTTTTAATTTGTGATGTTATAGAAAAATGTTGTTTTTAGAAATGAAAAGTTGGGAATATATGTACTTCTTACTATGTTCATTCATTTTTCTTGAAAGCTGTACACTTTGTTTTCTTTCTCCTGGAGTTCTCCGGCATGCATTGGCTATTTGGCTTTGGAAGTAACACTCCGACAAAGCCATAGAGAGATGTCGGAATCACTTAAAACCTTTGACTTTTTATGCGCAAACACAAATCCGGTTTTCCGAAGATTGAGATGATCGCCATGAAATGATAGCGAGAAATGGGATTCAACTATTACACGACCACCAACGAATCTTCATTAATGCGTTGACTCAATTCCTATCACCTCAACCATCTTTCTCTCTCTCTGACAAAACACACGAACATCAAATGCTATGAACAGTAATAAATTTATCACGACAACTACCAATATCCTTCTCTCTCTATCGTATACTATCATCATTGTTACTTTCCTTCTTGAGCCAAACCAAGAGACACAAAAATATGGCATCAACGTTTGTGTTACTAAACATCCTTGTGTTACTTTCTAGTCTTCTCACTTGCTCTGCCAATCTCTCTTTTAACTTCTACGCCGGTTCTTGTCCTTTAGCCGAGGTTCTCGTCAGAAACACCGTTAGATCTGCCTCCTCCTCCGATCCAACTATCCCTGGAAAACTCCTCCGACTCCTCTTCCACGACTGTTTTGTCCAGGTACAATGACGCACTCACTACTCATTACAGAGAAACTCAAACAATTTACGTTGATACTATTTGTTTGTTGTTGTTGGCGAAGGGTTGTGATGCGTCAGTGTTGATACAAGGGAATACCACGGAGAGAAGCGATCCTGGAAACGCGTCTCTGGGAGGATTCTCAGTCATAGAGAGAGCCAAGAATGCCATCGAGGTTTTCTGTCCGGCCACTGTTTCATGCGCTGACATCGTTGCTCTTGCTGCTAGAGACGCCGTCGAAGCTGTAACGTTCACCACTCTCACTTCACTATTGAAAACTAGGAGTTAGGGATATATCTAATCCGGCTTAACCAACCTCAATTGTACCGAAACCACTCATACAAAAGGCTTGAAAAATATATTAAACCAATAGTAAACCGGTTGGCCTAAAAGATTTAAGAAATTGTTTTTTTCTTTTTGTGGGAAAAGGCTGGAGGACCGGTGGTTGAGATTCCAACCGGGAGGAGAGACGGGAAAGTATCGGTGGCTGATGACGTCAGACCGAACATA